AACTATTACAAGTGTATTTGTATGTTCTGTAAGAATTCCCAGGTATATAGTAGAGCTGACAAAGGACAAAGTTGCAGTCACTTCTTGGCCACAGCCAGCTACCCAGAGGGAGTGAGTAGTTGGGGCTCGGGACTATAGTCACAGAGGATATCAAACTCAATTGGCATAACGTACTACACAAAACATTGTTCCACATTCTACTTAGGCGGGTAGCAACCAGGATCTTAAAAGCTTGCAAGCGGCCATCTAAATGTAATGATGGGTCTCTCCTCATCTAAAGCAAAGAAGAATGAAGAAAACCAAAGACACATGCAAACGATTAGTCCAAGGGACTGGTACACCATGTGATCCTCAGCTTATATGGCTGTGAAGCCAGAAGAACTAGATGGTGCCCACTACCACTGTCAACTGCTTGGAGGGAGATCTGTGTAGGAGATCCTGGATAGCCTAGGAGAATAATGTGGAACAAAACTCAAAATCATTAAAAAAAAACGGGACCAGGTTTGCTGGTCTGACAGAGCCTGGTGGAACCACTGAGACTATGGCCTCTAGCTGCTCTTCAGGTCTGGAATTGAATCCACTCCTGTGGCTTCCAGCCAAACAAAGGACAGGCATATGAGCTGAACATTTACATTAGGAAGATACACTCCATTGAGAGAACAATCATGGGACAATAGAGGGGCTGTATATGCATGGGGAGACAACTCAGGGTAGGAGTGCATAGGAGAGAAGGACACAGGGAAGAGGTAACTAAAGGAAGTGGGAGGGGAACTCTTGCATTAAGGGAAATTGCAGTCAATGCCATGAGACAAAGTGTATGTGAGCTGCTGTACAGGTAATGAATTTGCTCTAAACTTTCACACAAATCACAATAAAAAATTTTTTTAAAAATATTGCCCATTCTAGGCCCCTCACTAGAAAACTAATTCAGAGCTTCTGGTGATGGTGTCTAGTAATTTGGAATTTTTGTTTTTATAAAATCATCCCAGGTGATTCTTACATAGCAGCTGGGCACTGGAATAGGAATTAAGGACTGGAGGACAGTGTATAATTGAACATGGGAAGAAAGGGTGAAGGGGAATGTAGATTTCTTTTAGGAGTGGATAGGGTCATTAATAAATACGGCAACAAAGATGATACATGATCTGGACCCACAAAATATCCATCTTAGTTTGTGTAGCCTATGGTACATCCTAGTGGATAAGTCTGGTTGGCAACTGGAGCTATTACTTGTATTACTGCAATTCCTTGTCATCAACACCTAAGGAGCTGAGAGCATCCTATGCCTTTGCTAGTATTGTTCCTTTTGCTGAGCCACCCTCACAGCCCCTATCCTGGGCCAAAAAATAGTTGTCGTTAGGTACCATCAAGTTGGCACCAATTTATAGTGACCCTATGTACAACAGAACAAAATACTGTCCCGTCCTGTGCCAGCCTCACAATACATGCTATACCTGAGTCCATCATTGCAGCCACTGTTATCAATCCAGCTCGTTGAGGGCCTTCCCCTTTTTCCCTGACGTTCCACTTTACCAAGCATGATATCCTCCAAGGAATGGTCCCTTCTGACAACATAACCAAACTAGGTGAAACAAAGTCTGGCCATTCTCACTTCCAAGGAGCATTCCCACTGCACTTCTTCCAGGACATTTATTCTTTCTTCTGGCAGTCCATGGTATTTCAGTATTGTTTGCCAACACCACAACTCAAAAACAACTCTTCTTCAGTCTTCCTTATTCATTGTCCAGCTTTCACACACATATGAGGCAACTGAAAACACCATGGCTTGGATTAGTCACATCTTAGTCTTCAAAGAGACATCTTTATTCTTCAGCACTTTAAAGAGGTCTTTTGCAGCACATTTGCCCGGTGCAATATGATGTCTGATATCTTGACTGCTGCTTCTATTGGTGTTGATTGTGGAACCAAGTAATATGAAATCTTTCACAAATTCAATCTTTTCTCCATTTATTGTGATGTGGCTTATTGGTCCAGTTGTGAGGATTTTTATTTTCTTTACATTGAAATGTAATCCATACTGAAGACTGTAGTCTTTAATCTTCATCAGCAAGTACTTAAATCATCTTCACTTTCAGCAAGCAAAGTTGTGTTGTCTGTGTATCACAGGTTGTTATTGAGTCTTCCTCCAACCCTGATGCCATGTTCTTCTTCATGTAGTCCAGCTTCTCAGATTATTTGCTCACCATAGACTGAATAAGTATGGTGAAAGGATACAACCCTGTCCACTCCCTTCCTGATTTTAAACCATTCAGTATCCCCTTGTTCTCTTAGAACATAGCCTCCTGATCTATGTACAGGTTCTTCATGAGCACAATGAAGTGTTCTGGAATTCCCATTCTTCTCAATGTTATCCATAATTTGTTATGATCCACACAGTCAAATGCTTTTGCATAGTCAATAAAACACAAGTAAACATCTGTCTGGTACTCTTTCCTTTCAGCCAAGATCCATCTGACATCAGCATAAGACTGAATCCAGCTTGCATTTCTGGAAAACCAAAAACCAAGCTTACTGCTGTCGAGTCTATTCTGACTCAGAGAGACGCCTCCTTGGGTTTCAGAGGCGATTTCTCTATCAAAGTAGATTGCCCAGTCTTCCTTTGGAGGAGTGGTTGGTGGGTTTGAACCACCAGCCTTCTGGTTAGCAGTCAAATGCCTTAGGCATTACACCACCAGAGCTCCCAATATACTGATGCAACTGTTTTTGAATTATCTTCAGCAATATTTTACTTGCATGTGGTATTGATGCTATTGTTCAGTAACTTCCACATTCTGTGGGATCACCTTTCTCTGGAATGGGCACAAATATGGATTTCTTTCAGTCAGTTGGCCAGATAGCTGTCTTCCAAATTTCTTGGCATAGACGAGTAAGTACTTCCAGCATGGCATGCTTTTGTTGAAACATTTCATTGAGTATCCCATTGATTCCTGGAACTTTGTTTTTCACCAGTTCCTTCAGTGCAGCTTCAACTTCTTCCTTCAATACTTTAGTTCTTATCATATGCCACCTCCTTAAAAGGATGACCATCAGCTAATTCTTTTTGGTACAGTGACTCTGTGTACTCCTTCCATCTTCTTTTGAAGTTTCCTACACCGTTCGCTATTTTGCCCATAAATTCTTTCAATATTGCAACTCAAGGCTTGAATTTTTTTCAGTTCTTTAAGCTTGATAAATGTCTGTTCTTCCCCTTTGGTTTTCTAATTCCAAGTCTTTGCATATTTCATTATAATAACTGACTTTGTCTTCTTTGAAATCTTCTATTCAGCTCTTTTATCTTGTCATTTCTTCCATTGCTTTATTCTGTAGCTTTAGCTACTCTTTGTTCAAGAGCAAGTTTCATATATAAGTAGATAAAAACCGTTTTTTTTTTTCCCTAAAAAAAAGCTGGTAATTCCCTCTCTGCTGCCACATAGTAGCTTAAAAACACCACGATCATTGCCCTTGATACTTGTTAATAATTTACATCTGCCCCTCCAACTGTAACAACTCCCCTGCAAGCAGAAACTTTCATTCAAGCGTTTAGCTTACCTAACTCTCTCCCCCTCAGGGCTGTTTTTTCTTCATAGCGCCTATTACAAGTAGAAATTTTCTTATTTAAATCCCAATTAAAATATCAGCTTAATTATTACAGGGACTATGATTGCAGTCTTCACCCTGTAGTCACAGCCCCTAGCAGGTACTCAGGAAGTGTACCATGATAAAGGCCAGTCAAGTCTCACACCGATTTATTTAATCTTTATTCACAACAATCCTAGGTAATTTATTAATTTCTACTTTATGAATAAGGAGATTGCGGCTCACAAGTTAAGTATTTTGCCCACGTTTTTGGCTTTGTGGTATGGCCATAATCTGGTTAGTTTCCGAAGTTCAAGACTGCGCTGCCAAAACTAGCCTCTGAGCCCCTAGCAGACAACTGAAGTCAGTAGTTTTCTTCGGTATCGGTTTCTTAGCTCCCGCAAGACTTCAGTGGTCGATAGAGATCACACCAATGTGTCGACGCACACGATTGTCGTAGAAGACAGCGCCACTCAGCTTCCCGGCGGTCCGCGCGGCGGAGTGTTTTACGGCTTCTGGGTGGGTACTCCTTCTGTGGTCCGTGAGGAAGGAAAATTGGCGTCGTGCTGTAGGGACACGGCACGGTTACGTACGAATGACGTTAAGACTTTCAGAGTGAGTTCCTGGAGGAGCCCGGTCCTGCGAGGTTTTGTGTGAGGGAGGCGAAGTCTGGTCTCTCACAGATTACTGAGCTTCCATCGTTGGATTTTGAAACTGTGGGGTCTGCTGGGCTCTTTGGTGCAAGGGATAAACCTGATGCGTATGACCTCTGTCAGCCTCCAACCCTCTGCCACTTCTCTGCCGCTTCATTCAAATGGAAATAATTCCGACCTGCCTGTTTCTTAACGTGCTTGCGAAGGGCAAATGAAAAAATGTTTTTGGAAGCTATAAAGGGCTATATAACGTGCATTATTACTAAGCGAAGTTGAATAATGTAAGTTAAAAAACAGGTGCATACGGGGAAATTTCTAGATGATTTACCCGTTTTAAAAACAGCGAGTAACCTATAGTCCCGAAAATGATAAAATGTTTTTGACACTCTTGGGCTTATGGTTCCTATATAGAATCTTCTACAATTGTAAACAAAGAAGCAAATATCTTAATGATCCTATTATATATAAAAGCTGCTTATCAGATACCGCTTCCTCCCCCCTCCCCCATAATTTACAGAAATGTTTGGGACAACCACTAAATATGATTTTCTGCAATGGAGAGAATATATTAATGATTCAATTGGAAATGAAAACCTGAAATGATAATAGATTTTGCCTTTGTTGTTCCCTGTCGCCAACACTCAAACTAGCAGTTAAAAGTAGAAAAACGTCAGTGTTGTATAGATGTGTATGGTGAGTTGTAATATCATTAAAATGCCTTCCTAATCTCTAAAACTCTCTCTTTTCTTAATGTTTCTGTAATATGTAGAGTTTTCTGCTACCGAAGATGTTTAGATTTTCAGTGAGATGACGCTTCAGGAATTGGTACATCAGGCAGCTTCCCTTTATTCGGACAGAATAGCTGTGTGCTTTGATGAATGTGACAGCCAGCCTCCGATTTATTACACCTACAGGACTATGATTAATGCTGCTTCAGAATTGTCAAATTTTCTGCAGTTACAATGTGATTTTCAAGGAATTCAGGAAATTGGTCTCTTCTGCCATCCTGGGATAAACTTACCCTCTTGGATTTTAGGGTAATTTTTTGTTATAAATTTTGTGTTATTTAACATATGGACTATATTGCAAGTTATTGTTCTGTTTACTATTAAGGGCTTTTTCTGCATTTCTTGGTCACTTTTGAGCAAGTTAAGGAGATTGTGTTTCCCCTGTTATTATCTTTAATCATTTAAATTACTCTGAGTTTATTTAGAAGAAACTAAAGATTTCAACTAATAGAACATGAAATATCTCCAAAATATAAAGGCTTAATTTTTCTGCTAAAGGAAAAGTCTTAAATTCTGTTACTGGATCAAAGAAAATGTGTATTTCAGAAAGATGTTAAACTGAATTTTTAAGCTCTCAGGTTTCCAGTCAATGAATAAATGAGAGTTTAGGTTAATAATTTACTTTTATTCAGTCATTAACACAAATTTATTGAGAATGTATTGTGTGCATAGATCTAGTGTCCCCACAGTAAATCTCAGAGTACTCTTTGTTAAAATGACTAACTGATCTTTGATCTTGTTTGTACAGATACTGCCATATAGAAATCAATTTTAAAGGGTTCTCTTCAACCCCCAGGTCTTCTGTTTTTGGTGAAACACATTTTTTGGTACAGTGCAGATTCTAATAATGAAATCTGCTCGTGGATATTTAGCTTATTTTATGTTATCGTACATAGACAATGAAGAAATTAAACTCTCCTACCTGTATTGTATTTTAGTAATAGTATTGTATTGTCAGGAGGTGTTGGTGGTTCAGTGATAGAATTCTCCCCTTCCATACAGGAGGCCTGGGTTTGATTTCGGCCAGTGCAGTTCATGAGTAGCCACTATCCATTTGTCAGTGGAGGCGTCTGTGTTACTGTGATGCTGACCAGGTTTCAGTTCAGCTTCTAGACTATAGATAGACCAGAAAGAAAGGTTTGGCAATCTCTTCTGAAAATTAGTTAATGAAAACCTTAAGGATCATAGTAGTCCAATCTCATTGTGCATGGGGTTGCTGTGATTCGGGGGCTGACTGATGGCAGCAAACAACATCATACATTAGTTTTGAAAAATATTGAATTTCTTTGTTTTAAGTGAGGAGAATTTAATATGGTAAATATTCAGGATATTCAGTTTTAAAAGCAGGATTAAATAACAATATTCATAGCCAAAGGTGTATCAGCAAAACACTGGGGCTTTCTGATAAGATAAAATGCTTCAGATATTCTGTGCTGACTACTTTATTTCTTTAGAATTCTCCAAGTTCCTGCTGCTTATGTTCCTATTGATCCAGATTCACCACCAACGTTATCAACTTACTTTATGAAAAAATGTAATCTAAAGTATATCCTTGTTGAAAAAAAGCAAGTTGCTGTAAGTCGAGATGTTTAAATTGCTTTTGTGTGTTTTACATTTATCTTTCAACTGAAGATTTCCCCACAGACAGAGAATTGATGATTTCTAAATTTGCAGGAGTTCTCAACTTCAGTACTATTGACGTTTTATATCCGATCAGCATTTTGAGGAGTGTCTTGTGTACTGTAGGATCTTTAGCAGTATCCATGATCTCTGTCTACTAGATGCCAGTAACACCACTCCATTCTCCCACCTTCGATCCTTATTGTGACAACTAAAAATGTTGTCACAATAAGGTGTCCCTTTATGTCCCTTGTGGCACTAACCCAGCCTTACTCCATTGAGAATCGTGCTTTGTGGCATGAAAGTGTCTTCTAGACTTCTAATGTTTTGTGCATTGTTTTGAATTCCCTTTTTCTTTCCACAGTATTTCCTATACTGGGAAAGTTTGATAATACTTGAAACATTTTATCTTTTTATTTTTATGGCAATTGGAGTTCCTGGGTGGTATGATTAATAGGCTCTGCTCCTCATTAGTCACCAACATTATGGAATTGTAGCCAACCTTTTATTTAGCAAAAGAGCCTGGCACTTGGACCAGACCTTTCTGGAAAAGTAGTTTTATTATTTTTTAAACTTTAAGTGATTCAACCAAACATCTAGCCAAGAAATAATGCTTCAGGGCAAGTTTTGGTATTGTATGTTCAGCAAGATGAAGCCTATGTTTCATTATTATTTATTTGCTTTATTGAAGATAAACGAAAAACATTTAGAAGGTATATTCAGTTAGCCTGTTTTTACCCATTTCCTATATGAACCAATTTACATAACTTAAATACATTAATTAAATACATAATTTAATTACTAAAATACATTTCACCTGCGTGTAAATATGTATATGTGTCTGTATATACTTACTTACAGCAGTAAGAAGTATTAAGAACTTGAGATACACGAGAGACTTCCTTGACAGTCATGGATACTAAAGGAAAGCCTCTAGAAAGATGCAACGAAAGTACTCATTTGGTTAATAAATATTTTTGAAGTAAAAATATATTAGTATCTGCCCAAAGTTTTCTCTGTCTTCTACTTCTCAAATTGATTATCCTTTTGTTGTTCATAAGTAAGCAAAATTAACATAAGATTGTGCCATTCACTTTTCTTAACAACCTTGTTGAAAATTTTGTAAGAGGTAGTTGGGTGTGAGAATTGTTAATATCAAGGTACCATGGCCACAGGTAGTAAGGAGTTGGGCACATAGAAAACCCCTAGAAAACCTTTTTATCTTTTATTCTGTGACTTTGATGTTAGTATAAGTATTCTTCCTTCATTTAACACCGAGAAATTAGGAGGCATTTACTCAGCATCTGCTGGATGCCTAGCATCCACTAGAGAAGTGGTTCTTTGGTTCTCAATCAGAGATGATTTTTGCCCCCTCAGTGGCATTTGACAATGTCTGGAGGTATTTTTGATTGTCATGATGTGTTGAGGTACTACTGGTATCTAGTACTTAGAGAGGCCAGCGATGCTGCCAAACATCCTACAGCATACAACAATAAAGAATTACCTGGTTCAAAATGTCAGTAGTGTCAAGGTTGAGAAACTGCACTATGGACAAGGTGGTGGGAGAACACTGATATGTGAAAGAAGCCTAAGATAAGATTTGTGACCTCTAACTGCTTATAAGGAGCTCTGGTAGCACAGTGCCTAAGGCACTTGACTGCTAACCAGAAGGCTGGCGGTTCAAATCCACCAGCTACTCCTCGGAAGGAAGGTTGGGCAATCTATTTCTGTAGTGATACTGCCTCGGCAACCCAAGGAAGGGTTGCTATGAGTTGGGTCCGACTGGATGGCACATAATAACAACAATAACAACGGCTTATAAAGTAGAGAGAAATACTTAATACTCCTGAGCCTGTGAGGTCTATGCATTGTGATATTGCTCTGAAAAAAGTAAATGTAATCTAGTAGAGATAGGAAAATTTTAATTTAGGAGGAGAGTTTTGAGTTAGGTCTTAAGAATATATAGGAATATATATATTGCAGGCTATCTTCATATATAACAAACACACAAGCGGAAAATATGTGCTGGTTATAACCTGTATGCTGGCTTTATAACTATTTGTACTGATTTCTTAAATGTGAAAACAGGATTTCTTGCATTAAGCTGCTTTTTATATATCTAAAAAGGTACATTCAAACAGAACCTCACTCTTAACATGTGCGAACTGATTTCAGCATTTTTTCATTTGTCTCCATCCATCAAATCACCTGAGCCAGAAACCTAACTCTTCTAGGTTCACTTCATATACAGAAGGTCACCCAGCCCTATAGATTCTTTGCTTCTAGACCCTTTCTGTCAGACTAGTTCAGATTATCTGATATGTGAGACAACATGTCTGAATTGTTACAAAAGATTCATTAAATATCTCTGAGATGTTAGAGTCTTTTTTGTCAGTCCATCCTCTGTCCTGTATGGAGCATAGTCTAATTAGTCTATGCTATTTCCACCTTCAATTGAGATTTACAGTTTACAAGTTAAGATCTTAATGCTGGGTATACAAAGTTGTTAAGGATCTAACATCTCATCTCCTATCAATAGAATAATTTCCACTTCTTTCCTCCCCACAGCAATTTTTGCAACTGCAACTTCGTGAAATACTAAGGTTTTTCACAATACTAGCTTTCTCTGGTCAGATCCTCTGTTTTGGGTGGTTTCTTTGCCTGAAGCACCCCTTTTCTTTATTTGGAGAATAGCTGTTTAACACTTCTAAGATTTATCTCAAACACTACCTATGCTATCCCTGACTTTCCAGGTAGAGTCAAGTTCAACCTCCTCTGTTGCCATTACCATTTCAAGCATACTTCATTATCACACTGACCACATTATATTACAGTTGTCCATTTATATATGCCTATTTACTCTGAAGGTACATTTGAAAGTAAGGATGGCACCTTACTCTAGGAGGATTTTATCTCTTTATCCTTGAATATATATAGCAAGTACCTCAAAAAAACGTTTTTCTAGGAGTAAACGAATGTCTCATATTAGTTCTAAATATTAGAAAAGAAGTCTTTTAACAAACTAATATTGTAAACTTTTTTCCAAACTTTTTTCTTATCCAATAGAAATTCAGATCTTCCCATGACACATTATTGAACTATGACACATTCACAGTAGAACATAATGACCTAGTACTCTTTAGACTTCACTGGAAGAATGTTGAGGTGAATTTGATGCTAAGTGATGGAAAAGACAAATATGGAAAAGAAAAAATGAAAAACAGCAAGAGTTCTGGAAACAGCAATGAAGGAAAATCAGAAGAATGTATAGACGTGAGGCTAAAGCATTGCTTAGCTTATATTCTGCATACATCAGGGACTACGGGGATACCTAAGATTGTCAGAGTGCCTCACGCATGTATAGTACCAAATATCCAGCATTTTCGGTAAGTTCTTTCCTTAGAATCTTTATTCAAAACTTGTATTTTAAAGGGAAAAAAAATGGAAAATATTTGTTCTTCATAACTCTTGTTCCTAAATTAATAGTCCTAACAAAATGAGGTCTCTTTTGTCTCAGTTCTGTCTGAACTTTGGTTCTCTACAGGCTAGAGTTTCATCTATTTGATCCAGGTCTGGACCCAAGCATGATGAATAATGCTGTGCTTGGGTGTGTTGCTTTGATTTAATTATTAATAGGAAGTGATGAGGAGTATTCCCTGGAGAAGTGCCAGCAAGGTATGGAAGGAGGAGTTTGCTAGGGTGTGATAGGGTAAGGTTGAGAAAAGAATGGGATGGCTTGAGGTGTAGCCTGAGAGGGGTAGTGGGTGCGGCCTGTTAGGAAGTTTGAACTTAATCCAGTAGGTGATGGGGAACCATTAGAGGATCTGTACATTATTAATCTTCACTCCTATTTCAATTTGAAATAATCAGGAGATGAGAAATCTGTAAAAGGAGTACTATTAGTTTGACAAAAAAGGAAACAAAAGGAGGAAGGGAACTAGAGGCAAGTAGTTTTAGAAAATAAAGGAGGAAAAGAAATAGAAACTTCATGAGACATGAAATTTAAAAATTTCTATCAACCACATTTAAAAAGTAAAACACAAGTGAAATTAATTTTAACAGTTTAATATGTTGTTGTTGTTGTTATGTGCCATCGAGTTGGACCCAACTCATAGCGACACCTCCTTGGGTTTCCGAGGCAGTATCACTACAGAAGTAGATTGCCCCATCTTCCTTTCGAGGAATGGCTGGTGGGTTCAAACCACCAGCCTTACTGTCATTTCAGTATGTATTGTCAAAAATCTGATCAGTAAGTCAATTAGAATTAAAAGGTTTTATTTGGCAGAAAAAAAAAAATCATTCTTGAATCAGGAGCACCCCTCTAAAGAAATGAATTCATAAAGTTAAATTTTGATCACTTTATATACAGTATATACAGTATAAATTTATATATTCCCAAAATGGAAATATAAAATAATTGGTTGCCATTCACTTAATCAGCAGGAGGTGGCACTTGGATTGCTTTATGTTTCCATGTCTGCATTCTGTAGGCTAGTTAATGGCTTATCTCATTACTTAAATGTTTCCTAGAACTGTCTTTTTTTCTTTTTCTAATTCATTTTATTGAAATATAATTTATATACAGTGAAATACACAAAACTAAAGTGACATGGGTCAATGCTTTTTTTTTTTTTCCAGTATTCCTTCCCCTCTCCTTCCACCCCCGGCAACCAACAAAGAAAGTTTCCCTCCATATATAAACCTTTCCTTGACCCTCCACAACAACGAACTAATACTATATTTGTCCTTCTGTGATTGACTTATTTCACTCAGCATAATGTCCTCCAAGTTCATCCATATTATGTCGTGTTTTGCAGACTGTACATTATTCTTTAGTACTGCATAGCATTCCATTATGTGTATATACCAGTTTGGTCATCTACTCTTCTGCTATAAATCTTAGAGATAAGTCCCTTGGCAGATATAAAATTATTGGCAAATATGAATTTGTTGCTGTCATTTTTTTTTATGCTTTTTCATGGTGTCGATTTCTTTGTTCCAAGTACTTTTCTATGCTGAGCTCATTTTGTTTATGAATCGTGTTAACACATCCTTCCTTGCTGTTATTTTAGCATTTGCTGAATATTTATGCTGATCCTCTTTTTTGAATTGAAGGTTTATCATTTTTCTTTGAGATTACCCTTTGATTTATAATTTTCTTCCCAAGTTTAGAATAGTCCGTTCTATCTTGTAGTTGTCTTGACTTCCCTACCATCTAGAAGTTCTGTAATAACACAGTTTTTTCCCTCTTTTTGGATTGTAGGTGTCCTCATTTGTCAATTGGTGTCTCTGGTTTCCTGTTTACAATCTTGTAGGCTTATTTACTTTGGATACTTCCATAGCTGGGTTGGTTTCTGAGTTATATCATCATGTGTGTTAATGGTCAGTTGTTGTTGGCTGTTGTTGCTTCTCCATCCAAAGGGCTCCCTTTAGCATCTCTTGTAAGGTTGGTCTGGTTTTAACAAATTCCCTTTATTTCTGCTTATCTGGAAATGTCCTAATTTCACCATCATATTTGAGGGAACGTTTTGCTGGGTACCTAATTCTTGGTTGGAAATTTTTCTCTTTCAGTGTTTTATATATACCATCCCATTTTCTTCTTGCCTGCATGGTTTCTGTTGAGAAATCCGAGCTTAGTCTTATTGGTTGCCCCTTAAAGGTAATTTTTTGTTTTTCCTGTGCTGCTCTCATGATTCTTCCTTTGTCTTTAGTTTTGATAGTTTGACTTCCTGAATGGATATATTCTCATCTTTCATCATACCAGGAAAATTCTCTTTCTACAGATCTTCAACAATTTTCTCTGTGGTTTTATTAGTCTCTTCCTGTTCTGGAATTTGGATTACACATAGATTATTCCTTTTGATGGTATCCCACATGAACCTTAGGCTTTCTTCATTTTGTTTTGATCTTTTTTCTGATTTATCCCTTTCCAAAGAAGTGTTCAGGTATTTGCCTTCAATCTCCCTAATTCTGTCTTCCATTGATTCAATTCTGCTTCTTTGCCCATTCAATGTCTTATCTATTTCTGACAATATAGTATTAATCTTCTGGATTTCTGTGTGTAGATTTTGTATCATTTCTAATTTTTCGTTTATTTTGTCATTGTGTTCTTGTATTATCTTTCATAATTGTTTTAGGGTTTTCTCTGTGTTTTCCTTGATCTCTCTCTCAGTCGTTGAAGATACCTAGATATAATTCTTTTGAATTCCTTATCAGGGAGTTCCAATTCTGCGTCTTCCTCGGGGATGTGTTTTGGGTCTATATCATGGTCCCTTGTTTCTCCTGCTTTATCTTGCTTCTTTGTGTGGACTGTGATGCTCTGTTGTCTCTGTAGCATTGTGATGTTTTTGTGTTCATATTTAATTGGTGGTTGTATGTTGGAGTGACTTACCTACAATTTTCGTTTTGTTTTGTTTCTATGTTATCTACACAAGCAGGGTACTGTGCTCCTCTATTCACTAGTTCACAGCATTTATACACTCGCCACCTGTCTCCTTTCCTGTTGTCAGCCTCTCGTATGTCCCTGCCAACCTTGGCAAACAGAGCCTATTCTTTGGTCCCTGGATTCCAAATGAGATTGCTTTCACTTTAAAATCCAGAATGGTTGCCACTTGTAAACATTCAAAATGGCTGCGCCCTCTGGTCACTTTAAATATCCAACATGGCTGCCACTTGTAAACATTCAAAATGGCTGCCCCCTCGGTCACTTTAAATATCCAAAATGGCTGCACCCTCCAAACAGTGGAAAGTCCACAGCTCAGGTTGTCTCCCTCCTTGCTGTTTCCCTTCCTAGTCATAGACCACCAGTGCAGTTATCCCTGCAGCCCTTGGCCAGAGCTGATCTTTAGGTCAGTTCTTAGGTCCCAGCACCACTTGGAAATATTCAGGCTGTTGGTCCCATCAGAGTAGCTGACAGTCCTCAGCTCTGACTGTCTTTGTACTCACTGTACTTGTTGTTGAGGTTTTTCCACTAGTTGGTGCTTAATCCACTTCTGTGTAGTTCCTTTCTTTCAAAGCTCAAGGCTCCAGGATTATCTTCTGTATCTCTGTCAATTAGTTTTTCTTTGTTGAAGAGGGCCTGTGTCACTTGTCTACCTATTCCTCCATCTTACCAGAAGTCTACCAGAATTGTCTTTACCACATGTTTCTAGTTTCTGGAGAGGGTTAAGTTTAAACAGAGAAGACCTCTTCTTGTAACACTAATGAATATAAAAACATTGTTAGTGAGGTATTTTACATTCTCATTTTCATGCTAATCATCTTCAAAATTCATTATATATTTAACACCTGTACATCTCACTTTGAACTAGCTGTAGTTTTAGTGCCTCAATAGGCAGATGTTGTTAATTGCTGTTATGTCAATTCCAATTCAGGATTCTATGTGTGCAGAATAGAACTGCTCCCTAGGGTTTTCAAGGGTATGACTTTGTGGAAGTAGATCACCAGGCCTGTCTTCCCAGATTCTTCTGGGTGGGTTTGAACCACTGGTCTTTTGGTTAGTAGTCAAGTACTTAACCATTTGTGCCATTCTGGGACTCTGTAAGTCCATGTAGCTGGTGACAACTGTATTGGACAGAGCAACTCTAGAAAGAGAGAATGGTTAAATAAACACTGCAGCATTCAAAAAAAACCAAACTCACTGCTGTGGAGTCAGTTCAACTCATAGCAATCCCTCCTTGGGTTTCCAAGGCAGTATCTCTAAGTAGATTGCTCAGTCTTCCTTCTAAGGAGTGGCTGGTGGGTTTGAACTGCCAGCCTTCTGGTTAGCAGTAAAATGCCTTAGGCATTGCGCCACCAGAGCATCATTAAGATAAAATGCTTAAGGGTAGAAAGGTATCTATTATAATTGAGCATCAGATCTTTTTTGATTTGACTTCTGAGTAGGCACTCTGGTGGCTTAGTGCCCAAGGCATTTGACTGCTAACTAGAAGGCCAGCGGTTCAAACCCACCAGCCACTCCTCGGTAGGAAGGTTGGGCAGTCTACTTCTGTAATGATACCACCTTGGAAACCCAAGGAGGAGTTCCTATAAGTTGGGTTTGACCTGATGGCAGTGAGTTTAGTTTGAGGACAGATGGAGACATTAGTGGTTGTGTGGTAGAATTCTCCCCTTCCATGCTGGAAACCCTGGTTCCATTCCCAGCCAGTGTACCTCAAGCTCAGTCACTGTCAGTAGAGGCAGCATGTCACACATCCTGTTGTTTGTGGGGTCTCCATGAGTTGGGAACTGGCTGGATGGCAGCTACCAACAGCCTAGGGCAGAGAAGAGATGACAGCTGGAGGTGAGGGAATAGGATATGGGAATGGAAATAACAAAAACAATGTTTTGTTCTGGAAACTAGTTTTAAAGGGACACAGGATAGAAGGGATGCTGGGAGTTGTGCCGGTTTTTGTTTTTGTTTAAGAGAGGTTTATGGACTGAAGTTAGAGAACTGGTGGAAAGAGTTGGATTAAATAATAAGTTTGCAGAAAAATAAGATACCTTTATATGAGAAGGAGTGGCTTTTAAAATACTGGATGAAGTACATTCTCTTTTTTATTGTTGTTAGTTGTCTTCTAGTTGTCCCCAACTCACGGAGACCTCATGTACAACAAAAGGAAACCTATCCAGCACTGCACTATCTTCGCTGTCGTCAGTATGCTTGAGTCCATTGTGGCCATTGTATGCTTTGAGTGCCTTCCAGCCTAGGAGGTTCCGGCACTACATTAGGCATTGTTCTGTGTGATCCATAGAGTTTTCATTGACTAATTTTCAGAAGTATATAGCCAGGTCTGTCTTTCTAGTCTTAGTCTGGGTTAGTTTGAGCTGCCATCCTGTAGGTTAGTAGATGAGCACAAACTGTGCCCTACCCTTGGACCAAAGAGGAGTCCTAAACCCTTTTTTAAAGGGTTTCCAAATCAGACCAACTCAAGATAATCTCCCTTTGATTAATTTAATATCTGCTTGGTTACTTGTAACAAATCTGTATCATCTCTTCACAGCAGTTCCTACATTAGTGTTTGGTGGAATAACTCATAGAACTGTATGTATGCTACAAAGTAGACTCTGCCTCCCTTCTGTTCTCCACTTCTCATGTGACAATATCTTTTATAGACCACCCTAATGGGGAATATACTAGGAAAGGGATTCAGGGGATTATAGTTTACCCTTGCCGTGTTGACACATCAAAAAATTACTATAGTTGACAAATTATCTCATGGTGAAAAGTATTGCTTTAAATAGCTTTTAATCCTTACATTTATAAAGAAAAGTTCTAGAATGTACAGCACTATTTTGGTTAATTTAAAAGAGAAGAATAAAATCTGACCAATGCCAAGAAACTCAGTGATCATAAGCACTTTTTTTTAGGATGCATGTTTATCGAATGCTGGACATTTTTCATGACTACATTCTGTTTTTTATTCTATTTTGTTTAGGATAATTTTTGAGGTCACACAAGAAGATATTTTGTTTCTGGCTTCACCTCTGACCTTTGATCCTTCTGTTGTGGAAATATTTGTTGCTTTGTCATGTGGTGCCTCTCTGCTGATTGTACCATCTTCAGTGAAAGTGCTTCCATCAAAATTAGCTGTTGCTCTCTTTTCCCATCACAGAGTAACTGTTTTGCAGGTACATGCTAGGGGCAAATGAAATGTTCTTCACTATTCAAGATTTTATGTGTTTCAGAGCATATTTTGTATTTTCATAGTTCTTTACTATGGATTAATGATAATCTTTAGATTCTCATCAGTAGATCATATTTGACTTGGTTTGGATAAGGAAGAGAAGAATAGAGGTTTATCCTTTCCATTCTGTGTAGAATATGTATTTTTTATTTCTTTTGATAATGTATCTTTTATTTTAAAGTGAATTTTAGCTTTGTTAGGGGTTATCTTTTCCCTCCAAAGTCAAGTTTCTTATCAAATGATACAGAGTCATCAAAGATTTCTGCCTTACTGTATAGTTTATTTTTTAAAAAGAGCTTCTGGTACAGATTTTATTTACAAATAATGGCCCTAATCAGATATGAAGCAAGGATCTTAAAAGCTCTCAAAAAGAAGATATGCTACTAAGTTTTCAAAATTAGAAAGAATAGAATATATTGAGTTATTGTGGAGGAAAAATTAAGGATGACTTATTTCTTCCAGGAAGGGGAAGTTTCTCTTCTTAGGAAAGAAGGGTCCAATATTTAGTTTCCTATAAACCTAAAATATATAAGAGAATTTTATACTTAAATATTCTGAGCAAAACAGTTATATTATTTAAATTGGCATCCTTTAAAAGTGAAACCTTTTAATTAGAGAAAAACTTAGATTGCTAGCCAGGTAGCATGTCAGCATAATTGTATTTTTAGTTTTTACATGAATTTTGTTTTAGAAACTTTATTTTTTTTATTATATGCTAAGTCTTGTTTTTCTATGCCTAAGATAGTTTAGCAGTAAAGATTTTGACTTGCATTTGCCACTAAATTTATCATTTTACTTTATGAGTATCTAATAAGTACTTGCATGCTTTATCTTGTGTGGAGAATCTGTCTAATTATCAGTTGACCACTGAGCTACAGAGATACTTACAAAGGGTGATCCCTAGGAAATCCAACTTAAAAATAAACACAAGAATATGTATTTTTTAAAAAACAAAATAGGGCTGTCAGAGGCCATGCATCACATGGGACAAAGATTTCATAGATTTAGCCCAGGTAAGTTATAAACGAGGGAGCTCTGGTAGCATAGTGGCTAAGACACTTGCCTGCTAACCAGACGGCTGGCGGTTCAAACCCACCAGCCACTCCTCGGAAGGAAGGTTGGGCAATCCTACTTCCGTAGTGATACTGCCTCGGAAACCCAAGGAGGGGTCGCTATGAGTCGGGGCCGACTTGACGGCACATAACAACAACAACAACAAGTTATAAACGAAGAAATGAACAAGCAAACAAAAAAAACCAGTAACATACTTCGGAGGAAAATTAGCAGAGTCTAGAGTGCTGAATTACTTAAAATTTCCAGTTTTAATTAAAAAAATTATAACATATGCAAAGAAGTATAGGAAATTATGACTTATACGCATGGGGGCAGGGTGAGGAGTGATCAGTAGAATGTGTCTGTAAGTATTCTCAGCTGTTCTATTTAGCAAAGACTTCAAAATAGCTATTGTGAATATATCCACAGAACTAAAAGAAACTGTATTTAAAGAATTAAAGGGAAGTAAAACACTAATGAATTAACAAATAGAAATTATCAAGAAGATAGATATTATAAAAAATCAACTAAATGAAAATTCTGGAGTTGAAAAGTATCATAATTGAAATGAAAAATTAACTGGAAGGACTCAGTCAGATACACGATGACAGAAGACAGACTTAGTGAACCTGAAGAGAGATTAATTGAAATGAACCTCTCTGAAAACAGACAAAAAGATTGGAGAAAAATGATTGAAGCTTCAGAGGCCCATGTGGCAACATCACATGTACCATTTATATAGAAGGATCCAAAAGGAGAAGCAAGAGAAATGGACAGAAAAAAGCCTTCAAAGAAGCAATGACTTAAAACTTCCAAAATTTGATGACAAACATGAATCTACACATCCAAGCAGCTCAGTAAATTCTAAGTAAGAAAACACAAAGAGACCCATACCTAGACACATTGTAGTCAAACTGTTAAAAGCTAAAGAAAAAGGAAAAAACCTTAACAACATCAAAATAGAAATGATTCATGACAGAGGGGAGCATCAGTACAATTAACACCAACTTCTCATCTTAAACAGTGGGGCTAGAAGGCAGTGGAATGGCATTCAGAGTACCAAAAGGGAGAAAACACACCTGCCAACCAAGAATTCTATATGCAGTGAAACTATCCTTGAAAAAGTGAGATAAAATAAAGACCTTCTCAGTAAACACTAAAGAGTGAAAGAATAGCTGGAAGAGATGCTTCACAAGAAATACTTTAGGCTTTTAAAAAAAAAAAAGAAATACCTTAGGCTTAAAGGAAATGATTCTAGATGGTGACTTAATTCACAGGGAAAAATGAAGAGTAATAGAAATGATAAATATGTGGATTAATAGGAAATACTCTGTATGATTTTCTCATTTCTTCTATAAAAAGCAAAATATTATTTAACACTGTATTGTAGGATATATAACATGTAGAGATGTAATATAAATGACCAGTGGACAGATGAGGGGACCATTAACACAAATACTGGAATAAAATTTCTGTATTTTATCAGAAGTTAAATTTTGAAATTAAATTCAAATTATTAACTTGAAGTTGTGGTAAGTTAAAATATGTATTTTAATCCAGGAGCAACTAATATAAAAAATTATTTGAGGAATTAAAATAGTACACTGAAAAATTTAACACATAAGTCAGCTAAAGAGGAACAGAAAAGACGGGAGGTATAGAAAGCACATTGTTGTTGTTGTTGTTATGTGCCATCGAGTCAGCCCTGACTCATAGCTACCCCTCCTTGGGTTTCCGAGGCAGTATCACTACGGAAGTAGGATTGCCCAACCTTCCTTCCGAGGAGTGGCTGGTGGGTTTGAACCGCCAGCCGTCTGGTTAGCAGGCAAGTGTCTTAGCCACTATGCTACCAGAGTGAATTCAACTGTATTGGTAATTATATTCAATCAAACTATAGAGATTGTCAGACTGGATGAAAAAGTAAGATCTGTAAGAGACACCCCTGAAATTTGAAGACACAAAAGGTTGAAAGCAAAGCAATAGGGAAAGATAAACTATGCAAACAGTAACCATTAGAGAACTGGAGCAATTATATTAGTATCAGTCCAACTAGAATTTAAGATAAGAAATACTACTAGAGATAGGCACATTTCATGACAAAGTTGAAAGTGCATCAAGGTATAACAGTTATAAAAGCATGTGTGTTGTTGTTAGCTGCTTTTGAGTTGGCCCCAACTCACAGTAACTCCATGCACAACAGGATTGGATCATTGTGATCCATAGAGTTTCATTGGCTGATGTGTTTGGGAGCAGGTTGGCAGACCTCTCTTCCTAGTCTATCTTACTCTTGAAGCTCTACTGAAACGTGATCAGCATCATAGAAACATGGAAGCCTACACTGACATATAAATGGTGGTTCCACTTGAGGTATATTGGCTGGGAATTGAACCCAGGGGTCCTGGATGAAAGGTGAGAGTTCTACCACTGATGTACCACTACCCTCTATAAACATATATGTACCTAAAAATAGAACTTCCAAACATATTAAGCAAAAATGAATAGAAATGAAAGGAAAAAATGATAATTCAGTAATAATAGTTGAAGATTTTAATACCCCACTTTGAATGATTGCTTGAACAACTAAACAAAATCAGCAAGACTATAGAAGACTTGTACAGTACTATCAACCAAATGACATGTATAGTGCACTCCACCCAGTGAATGAGAATACACATTCTTTTCAAGCACACATAGTACATTCCGTAGGATAGATCATACATGCTAGGCCATGAAACAAGTCTTAGTATATTTTAAATAACTAAAATAAAGCCATACAAATTATTTTCTTCAACCATGATAGAATCAAGTTAGAATAAAAATAGGACGATAACTGGAAGTCCCTAAATAGTTGGAAATTAAACGAGTTTGGTGGGTTTTTTTTTTGGTATGTCTAAATAACCCATCAATTAAAAAAAAAAATCACAGGGGAAATTAGGAAATATTTTCAATGGAATAAAATGAAAACACAAAGTAGTGGTTAGGAGGAAATTTGTACTCTAAACACTTACATCAGAAAAGAGAGCGGTTTCTAATAACCTTTAGTGACACTAAGGAGATCTGATGGTGTAGGACCTAAGGCATTTGACTGCTAATGAGAAAGTTGGCAGTTCAAACCCACCATCCACTCCATGGAAGGAAGACTGGGCAATGTACTTCTGTAAAGATTTACTGCCTTGGAAATCTGAAGGAGGTCACAAGAGACAGAATCAACTCGATGGCAGTGAGTTTTCCTGTTTGTTTTTTTTTTTTAATGAAACGAGAGCAAAGCAAGCAGAAAAAGGGGGATAATAGTGATTACAGTAGAAATCAATAAAATTGGAGACAGAAAAACAGCAGAGAAAAAAAAAGTTGCTTCTTTGAAAAGATCAACAATATTGACAAATCTTTGGCTAACCTGATCAAGATAAAAAAAGAAGACACCAATTAAGAAAATCAGGCATGAGATAGGGGACATCACTACTGACCATTTGGAAATTAAATGTATTTTAAAGGAATACTGTGAACAACTTAATACCAATAATTTAGATGAAATGAACACATTCCTAAAAGCCATTACCAAAATTAATTCAGTTGGAAATAGAAAATCTGAATACACTGAAACAAGTATAGAAATATAATTAGAAATTTAAAAATTGTCTCATGAAGGAAAGCCTTGGGCCAGATCTTCCTTGGTAAATGCCATCTTTTTTTTTTTTTGACTGTGATTTTGGTGAAAATGTACAGAGCAAATTCACTTTCCATACAGCAGTTCACATATACTTTGTCTCATGACATTGACTACAATTTACCACAATGCAACA